AAATCTGCCAAGTGGTCACAGCTTCGTTTGCTTTTCACCAGCATATCATCAATGTAGACCTCCATGGTGTCGTCGATCTACTTTTTGAACATCCGATTCATCAGTCTTTGGTATGTTGCCCCGGCGTTCTTTAGCCCAAACGACATCACTTTGTAACAATAAACTCCCTTTGGAGTGATAAACGCTATTTTTTCCTGATCCGGGGGATGGAGAGGGATCTGGTGATATCCTGCTCGGGCATCCAAGAAGTTCATGCGTTCGTATCCAGCAGTGGCGTCCACTAGCTGGTCCACCTTTGGTAGGGGGTAGTCGTCCTTGGGACATGCCTTGTTTAGATCAGTGAAGTCTACGCAGATACGCCATTTTCCCCCTCTTCTTCGCACAGACCGTGTTAGACAGCCATTCTAGGAACTGTACTTCCCGGATGGCGTCGGCCTCCAGGAGTTTGTCGATCTCTTCGTTGATCGCACGGGCGTGGTGCGGGGCCATGTGCCGTGGCTTCTGTTTCACTGGCTTGTGCGCGGGTCAACATGCAGTTTGTGTGTAATTATTTCGGGATCCACTCCCGTCATTTTCATTGCGTTCCAAGCGAACACGTCTGCATTTCCTCTCAGGAACTCAATCATCTCCTCCTGTTCGGCTGTGGGCATCGTGGTTCCAACTAAGAAGTATCTTTCCTCCTCATCCTCTACCAAGGGCACCTTTCGGAGGTCCTCCACCGACCGCTCTGTCGGGTCAATCCGGGGGTCATCCATTCCTGGACGCCCGGTCTGTGATTGCTATTTTTCCAGGATCTTTTCGGAGCCCGCCCCTTTTCTTGGGTGAAAGCCCCTGCTCTGACAGCCAAATAAAAATAATTTTTCGCGGATGCTTGGTCCCCTCAGATTTCCATGATCCCCTCTGGCGTGGCAAACTTTAGTTTCTGGTGATAAGTGGAGTGCACCGCTCCCAACGCATGCAGCCACGCTCGTCCCATGATCACATTGTAGGGAGAATCCGTATCAATCACGACAAACTCAGTGTTGATGGTGAAGGGACCTGTGACAACCGACAATGTGATTTTGTCTATGGGCAGGGCGAACGAGCCATTGAATCCGATGAGGGGTCAAGACCCATTCGTTTTAAAGTGTCAGAGTACATTACTTCTGAGGAATTCCCAGAGTCTATCAACACCCTCTTGACGTCGAACTTGCCTATCTTCAGGGTTATGACAAGGGTGTCGTTATGAGGAGTCACCACGCCAGTCAAGTCTGCGTCGGAGAACGTGATGCTCGGCTCGCCAATCCTGGCCCTTTTACTGGGCGGCCCCCCATCATTCTCGGCCACCTTTCTTGTAAAAGCTACCCTCTTGAGATTGGACTCGAGTTCCTTGGACGTGGGGCGATCTAGCGGACATACATGGATCACATCTATGACGTTGTCTGGCTCCTCGGTCGGGACAGGGGTACGTCTCTCTTCCGGCCCGGGCTCTATGTATTCTTTCAAGTATCCGTCTCGGACCAACCTCTCCAAGAAAGATTTGTATACCCTGCAGCTTTCGGTGCGATAGCCGAAATCCCGGTGATAGGAACACTTGACCCTTTGATCACGGGTGGAGGGATCGCTCTGCATCCTGGGCGGCCACTTGAAAAATGGCTCATGCTTGATCTTGTGGAGCAACTTGTAGATGAGTTCCTTGAACATAGTGTGAACTCCTTTGAATGACCCCCCGGAGGGGGTAGCAGTCCCTTTCGGGAAGTATCCTCCCGCTCCCTCTCTTTTCTCTTAGGTTGGAGGGTTCTGCCTTTGCTGCTTCCCATCTCGTCCTCGATCCTAGAGTATTTTTTTATCCGGGCCATCAACTCGCCCATATCCGAGGGAGTCCTTTTGTTCAAGGATCGGTACAGGTCCGTGTCCCTTGCCAAGCCGAGCCTGAAAGACGCCGCTGTCATGACTTCCGAACAGCCTTCTACCTCATTAACCTCCTCCCAGTACCGGATGGCGTACTGGCGGAGGGTCTCGGATTCCCTCCGTCTGAGCATCAGTAATGATCCAATGTCTTTAGGCCGCTTACTCCCCGTAATGAATCGGGCTAGGAACTGTCTCGTAAGCTCCTTCCATGATCCAATGTTGTTGGGGGGAAGAGCCTCAAACCACTTCATCGCAGAGTCCCCAAGCTCATGGGAAACACTCGACAGAGGAACCGTTGGTCTGAATGATACAGGGACATCATTTGCTTGTACTGCCTGAGGTGGGCTTCGGGATCAGACCGTCCATCATAAGTTTTGAACCTCGACACGACGAATTTTTTTGGAACATCCATCTCTGTGATACCCCTGGTAAAGGGTGATTGCATGACCTCGTCTTCGACATCATCCTGGACAGTCTTGTCCTTTCTCCTGGATTCCAACCGAGCCCTGAGATCAATTTTCTCCCAAACAGGGTGTCTTCTGAAGTCTCCGAGTTCGTCAATAGGTCCCCCATTTTCTGGGCGTCGCGTGGATAGGGTTGAATCCTCCTTGGACTCATCTCCCTTCCTCCGTCTTGACAGTCCTCGTCGGAGGTCGTCCAGGGCTAAAGGCCTTGCCTTCCTGGAATGGTCGTTAAGAGGGTGCTCATTGGCTCTTGGTCGCTTTGGGGCCCTGGAACTTTTTGCTTTGTCATTTAAATGATTCCTCAGATCCTTGGTTTTCACCTCCCGGGCGGGGAGCCCACGAGAAAGGAATGAGTCCCTCGACCCTTCGCCAGAGGCGACGAATTCGTTGAGCTGGCTTAGGACGTTCACATTGTCCTTTTTCAACTGTCGTAATCGATCTCCAAACTTTTCTTCCATTACCTTGGCGAGCCAAGGGGCAGTTCCTCCTGACCTGATGCCCATACTGGTCTGAGGAGTAGGCCCTCTTGACTGAATAGAGACATTTCTATTCCCATCAGTGTGATCCCTTCCTCCATCATGACATGGAGCTCATAATTCAAGACTCTTTTGTTGGGGACCTTTCCCTTTTTGTCGAGTATTCACCATGGTTACTGTTCTTTATAGAGAAGAAACTAGGAGAACTAGTCGTTTCCCACAGACGGCGCCAGATTGTGTGTGCAGGATCTTACACAATATAAATACGAGAATAGATCTCTTCTGTGGTGAACTCGAGTCAGTCAATCAAATGGTCAACCTTGCTATTGGGAACAGTCTGTGAGGTCCTGTGGTAACCTGGAACGATAATGAAAGACCCACGTGGATCAACGGAGCGATCCAGTAAGGCTGAGGAAGGTCCCTGGAACAAAGAAAGGCAAGTTAGAAGGGCGCCAGAGTATTTTTGGGCGTATCCCCTCCGACGATCAAGTCAGTATTTGAAAGGGGAGGAAGAAGAAAACACTGAGTATAGGTTTTTTTTGGAAAGGTTTTTTGTTGCGTACCGTCTTTCCTTTTGCGAGGAGTATTTATACCTCAAAAACTCATGATTGTTGTCAGTGTGGTCAGTAGGTGATCATTAGGTACAGGCAACGTGCGCACTGATTCCTATGAGGAATATCTTCTCTCTTAACTGCTCGGGACCCCAAGCAATCAATGCGTCGTCATCAGCCGGCGGAATATTCAATGAGCTATTCTCGGCAAGAGAGTAATAAATGCCTAGTATCAGGGACATTTATTGTCTTTCTCTTCCGAGCCTTACCGCATTAAATGCTGTCTCATCAAGGGAATGACCTAATTAAATGCTTGCTTTCCCAAGTTATGTGTCAGCAAGGACATCCAGTCTTTTTGTCTCTGATGTGACACAATATGCCACGTGCCCCTTCCCCACTGGCTGCGTCTTCTGCCTTCCTGTGCCTTCTGACACTAATTGTGTAAGACAAGGTCATGATGGCTAACCTAGCCTAGCCTAGGCTAGTGACCTGTACATCAATAGCCTCTGCGGGAGCAGAGAATGCCATTCTGGACGGCACACCTCGGAACCGAGGGGGAGGTACATCTCGGAGCCGAGAGGAAGGTACATATAGGGACCGATGTACCATATCCCCGACCGAGGGATACATGTCGATACGTAAACGTACTGGATGCCATTGATCCCTACGACCAGTACCTCGGGATAGAGGGACTTGTGAACCGATGGGTACGTGTCGTGATCACAGTAACAAGAATTTAGTGACACCGAGGACACGTATCTTCATTTTAGAGTATTTTGAAAATGTTCCATCAGTACCCTATACAATTAAAATACGTGTCACACTACAGACAGACAAATGATATGTTTAAAGAGAGAGTTACGAGAATGGATGGCACCGTAAAGGTATGAGAACAATATTAGTGTGACCTACCTAATACACCCCCCTCCGCCGTCATCGTGGAAGTAAAGCCACATGACTGGGACACTGGAAGGGAAAATCCTCAAGGGGTACTCTCAGAACAACACCGCTTGAGAGTTGAGAGAATCTACATAACCCATTTGATGCCCATCGTGGTAAAGTCAACCAACAATATACTGCTTGTCGATTAACCCAAGTGCCTAAAAGGAAATATGACCCCTCCTCGAGAAACACCAAAAAAGAATGAAACCGAGGGAGGAGTTGAAAGGGTTGCTGAAGGGGGCGACGTCGGGAGACGTAATGTCATCGAAGAAATTACCACAAAAAATACTTTTTATACATTCACGCTCACTAGGAATGAAACAATAAAGATAGAGGTTTACCTCGGGGATTTCTAGATCTAGGAGGGAGGGGCTTACCTGACCAAGGTTCCCGAGATCACCCTCGTGGTAAATGAGATCAAATAGGTCTCCAGGGATAGGCTTGCCAAAGGCATCCCCTCCCTCGGGTGGGAACATGCTCCAAACTCTCCTCTCCAGCAGTGTGTGCCCCACCAAGCTAATACCTATGACAGAGACATACTCAACGATCATTGCGGGAATTCTTCCCTCACACAAAAGATAGAGGCTCACTAGAATAAATGATAGGCACCACCTCTGCGACAAAAACATTGTGATCAATGGTTGCCTCAGACTCGCTCCCACAAACAACTACTTCACTCAATGAGCACTGTTCACATCAAGTTCCAGATCCTTCAGGGAAGGAGGGTCAACAACAGCTAGTGAGGTCAGAGGCGCGAGATTTTTCGAAGGAGGCGGGGCAAGGCTCATTGCGCTAGACTCACTGTTAAAGGCTCGAAGAGGCAAGTTCACCACCATGAGAGGATCTTGAAACCTCATAATAGGATCCACTAGCACCAATAGGTCGAGGGCATAAACCATAGGGGAATTGACATCATCATCTCCACCAACTGGCTTAGAGACGTTAGTCTTGGAATGAATGGAGGCTGCTTCTGTCAAATCAACAACGGGGGGAAGCAAAAACAAGAGGCTAGCAAATAGGAATAATGGCACTAAGAGAACACGAGTCATCGTCATCGGAGATATAAATTATGATTGCACAATCACTGAAAAAGTTGAAGGTGTGCCCCAATGTTTGAATATTACCCAGTTCATGAGCTGCAAGGCAGAAAAATGTTAGAGAAATCTCTGACGTTGAGCTAGGGGAGGTCCCTCTGATGCTTAAATCAGTGTCGCGATTAATCAATAGAGCAGACGAGTGTATAAACAAAAAAAATAATATAGATGTATGTGTGAAGTATGGAGCCAAGGTGCTCATACTTGAGGCCCCCTCTTCTTTGGGTCTTCACCCATATATATAAAGAAAATTAAAGAGTCATTTACCATCATGTACTGTGCAGCCGTTAATGCAGGAAAATAGACATGGACTAACCTTGTAAAACACTCATTACCTGTCATATATTCATTGTAGTAGGTCTCACTTGTAATATTCGTTAAGTCATTTATACTCCTTCCTTGCGAGTGGGGCTGGTGGACCCACCTGACAAATAATGTTCCATCAACTGCCTTCCAGCTTTTATTTCCTTTGAATACCGAGAAGGAGATGAAAGCTATGCAGAATATCCATGTCTCAGGAGATAATATCCACACCCTTTTTTGGCGGGGTACAACTTGAGGGAGATATAGCGAGATCCACTACATGTTGTCAAGCGAGCACGGAGCCCGAATATCGTAGACAATAATACATGCACATGCCGGATACGCTTGTCATTTATAATAGAATACCGAGATTAATAACCGCGGAGCTCAAATACCCAACGAGAAAGGAGTGATATCTCATCAGTTAGAACAATGCATCTGCTTAGTGCCATAGATGGTGTCTCCACGGTATAGACAATTCTAAACCCTGAGCAATAACAATGAATACATTAGAAACCCATTCGCCTATGCAATAACAAAGTGCCTTATTAAGAGGCCAAATTCGAAGGATGAAGGTAACTGAATCTTGGCCGATACTCTCATAATAGAATCCCGAGAAGGATAATAATAGTTTGAGCCGTGAATGAGACAATCATGAGGCGCCTTCCAAGGCAAATAGATCCAACGCAAAGGGCTTATAACAGATGTCGCTGATTCGTTGAATAGGGACCACATAAGCTTAGTCCCTGAAGGCCAACCTAATAGGCCCGAAGAAGGACCGAATAAACCCGACCCCTAAAGGATCGAATACATAGATTGCTAAAAGAGAGACTGAATATAGAGATCTCAAACGTGTCTCTTGAGGTCGAGCACTAATGAAGTGCCTTGTTGAGGGGACGAAATACCAAATATAACCATCACAGGCCACTGGAGAGAGTCAAGTCCTAAACAGGACAATCATAACTGGACCTCAACCTCACCAAAATGAGATAATAATATCTAAACCCTAAATAACGGTCACTATAATCAGATGTGACGAACGTCAAGAATGAGCGAGCCTAAAGAGGACAATAATAGTCGGTCCTCTGAAGAAGGACCAAATAGTCATGACCCTCGAGAAAGATCAGAATAAGTCTGTCCTTGTAAGGAAGGGTCGAATACACTGGGTCCTCTGAAGAGGGACCAACTAATCTTGGCTCCTTCAGAATGTCCATAAAAGAAGGCTCGAACATATTTGTCCCTTGGCCTCGACAGTCACAAGTTTGATGATCAACTGGGCTTTGAGCCTTGCCCTTTCTTATCATGTTCATATAACTGAAATAAATAAAAATGTACCTCATCGAAGCGAGTCTTGAATATATCGAACTCGTAGTTACGCAATTCAAGTTTCCTTCAGTGAGATTCTTCTTGAGAGAGCCTTTATGTCTGACACGAATGTTGACGCTAGGTTAAACTTTCCCTTGTAACTGTATTGCACTGTCTCAGGTCTCACCCAAAGTCTCGTATTACCTCCTTCAACAAGGAGTACTCCCGGGTCCAAGTTGAACTTGTCCCTAAGAGGTTTTATGTCTTTATTAGGACTTTTGGTGCTTTGGCCGATCAAAGGCTTACCCGTGCTATGGGTCCGGAGCCCATCAAGTGCCTAATCACATAGGTCTTAGGGTGCTTTGGCCATGCAAAGCCTTACTTATGTTCGAGGTCTAACCCCGAATCTCATGTCACCTCCCTAAACAAGTACTCCCGAGTCCAAGTTTTTGAATATGTCCCTGAGAGTTTTTTGCCTACATTAAAATTTTGGTGCTTTGACAAAGAAAACGCTTACCCGTGTTGAAGGCCTGGAGCCTGCTAGGTGTCCACATGTATGAGAAAATTCTTTGAGAGTTGATCATTATTTCTTCTTGTCTTTGTTGAAAAATGGTGACAATCCGCAAGGAGTGATCACAAAACGACCTCTCGACAAATTTTGGGTAGTGGATCAAACACTTGGGACCAACCATTGGTGCTGATGGATGAGACTGAGCCCCTCGGTATGAAAAACCATCCATACGCCACCATCTATCACTTGATTGACTTAAATAGCCAGAGAAAATCCTTGAGCCCAAGGGTGAACCATAACCAGCTGCTTGATGTGAAGCTGAAGCAAAGCCGAGACTATGATCTCGGGCTTTCACACACTGACACCCCTGGCGTGGTTCGCCAATGCTCGGGTTCAAGAAGTGGTTCTGCTAGTCCATGTGACCTTCTCTTTGTGATTACTTGAAGAGATCTTTGTTCAACTGGTACTGAAGTCGAAAAAGTGCCACTAGTTGCAGAGAACATTCAAAGGGTGAGACCGAGCAAAGTCTCCCATCCACGGGTGAGGGAAAACACCATTTGATGATGGACCGATCACATAAGAAGTCCCTATGTGTACCTGCTATGCATGAAGAGACTTCAAGAAACTCCCATAGAGAGGTCGAGGAAGGATAACCACGGAAGTGATTGGTATGTTTGCAGAGTTGTATAAATGCCAAAGAGTGGAATTTTGTTTTGGCCATGTCATAGACTTGTTCTTCGAGCTCTTGATGGATGCTTCATATGAAACCGACATTTGGCGACAAGTGGTCACCCTTTGGTCTTTGATGTTGGATTGACCACTTTCAGGTCTGGAGGTCGAGGTTTCTCGGTGAGAGCTGAACCATCTGAATGCCAAGCATATGGTGCCTGAGTGCTAGATTGTTAGCAATTAATGGGCGGTGAGTCAATTTCTTGTAGCACAAATATGTTGATAGTTTTCTTTATTGACGTTGTGGCTCCGGTCGTCCCAACTCTCTTTGAATAGCCGAGTAGAGAGGCCGACCACCCAAGAAGCCGAGATTAAAGTAATGATGCCTATCGTAGGTGAGTGAGATCATTGGAGCCCTTGGAGAAGCTCGTCGAGCACCTCATGAAAGTTGGTTGTTATCATTGCCTTTGTCGAAGCGAAAGAAGACCCATTTGTGGTGTATTTAGCTTCAACATAAATTGAAACAACCAAAGATCTGGGTAACGCCTTGTTCCCCTGCTCGAGTATATCACGCTCTCTGAGATTTTGAGAATTCAATTTTAACAGATGCCGAAGCCGAAGGAGTGTTAGGTACGAATGGGCATTCAAGAGAGGAGACCTAGCAAGGCATCTGGTCCAGAGGCAGTATAGTTGGTGATGCCGAGAACTATAGTTGAGGCTGACTACCTGAGAGGCCCTTGTTCCGAGAACATATGGCTTTGGGACATGCCGCCCACTCTGAGCAATCTCCCAATGTGATGAAAAAATAGAGGCTTTCTCTACCGAGATGTTCTTGATGATGCCGAACACTTTATGGGCCAGTGTAGACTACCTCCGAGTTGATGAGTGTGTCGGCCAGCTCCTTGATGAGAACCCAAAGACATTGTGAACCCCGTTGTTGAGTTTAATGTGTGCCAAGAGTTGCATTTTCTTGGCACCGATAACCCCCGAGAGGGATTCAAGATGACACACCCATTTGTGACCAAGGAAAACCCAGAGAGTTGGTGTGCCAAAGTTGCTGGCCTGCCCGAGAAGTGGGACCTGTTGGGAAAATAGGCTTTCCCACAAGTGTAAATCAATGGAAGCAATATAAATAGAATAACAGAAAATAAATAAGCACACAAGATTTACGTGGTTCCCTCAAATAACTTGAGGTACATCCACGACGACCGGTAGGTCAGTTTCTTCCACTATCACCAAATCAGATTACAAAGTGGCCAAAAGGCATAAGCCTTACAAACACACCAAGGTGTAAATCACAAGAGGAAAATACCTCACAAAATAAGTGAACCAAATCTCCAAGAACAAACCGCAAGAAACCCAAATATCAAGTGAAGAAATGTTACCCACTTGAAGAACAAATTTGCAGATTTTTCTGGCACCAAAAAGGAGAAGAAGAAGGCTGAATTTTTGTTGAACCAAAGACTGCCGAAAATATGTCTTCTTGCCAAACCAACAGAGAAAAGATGAACCAAAGAAAAGGACAAAAACTTATAGTCTTTGGTGGCTGCCAAATTCCTTTTAACTTGAAGACTCCAAACCAAGTCTTGGATAAGAGTCATACACGGGTAAGCCACCAAAAAATTAGCAAATTGATGAGTCCCACAAAGGAGGGAAACCCAACAATTCTCCCCCTCCCGACTTATGTGGAGGATTCGACCATTCCCGCCAAAAGTCGACACTTCTCATGCTTGTCCTTAGTCAATGTCTTAGTTAACATATCCGAAGTGTTATCATCAGTGTGAAATTTTTCAAGTTGTAACAACTTATCATTCAAGACATCACGAATCCAATGATATCTAACATCAATATGTTTCGATCTCGAATGAAATGAAGAATTCTTGCTCAAGTGGATTGCACTCTGACTATCACAATGAAGGACATACCTTTCTTGTTTCAAACCCAACTCTTGTAAGAATTCCTTCAACCACAATAATTCTTTGCAAGCTTCAGTGATGGCGATGAACTCAGCTTCTGTGGTGGAGAGAGCAACACATTTCTGTAATCTTGATTGCCATGCCACTGCTCCCCCTGCAAAAGTAATCAAATAACCAGAAGTAGATTTTCGACTATCAACATCACCAGCCATATCAGAATCTGTGAACCCATCAAGAATAGGCTCGCCTTTACCAAAACACAAACTCATCTTTGAAGTGCCCTGAAGATACCTCATAATCCATTTCACTGCTGCCCAGTGTTCTTTCCCTGGATTAGACAAAAATCGACTGACAACCCCAACTGCGTGAGCAATATCCGGTCGAGTACAAACCATGGCGTACATCAAAGAACCAACTGCTGAAGCATAGGGAATTTTCTGCATCTCATTTCTCTTTTCATCACTTGTAGGACACTGACTTGAGCTTAGTTTGAAGTGGCCTGCAAGTGGACAATTAACAGGCTTTGCTTTGTCCATATTGAACCTCTCAAGAACCTTTTTAATATAATTCTCTTGAGATAACCAAATCAGCCCATGTGATCTGTCACGAACAATTCTCATCCCAAGAATTTGCTTTGCTGGACCCAAATCCTTCATGGCAAAGGACTTACTCAACTCTGACTTCAACTTGCTAATCTTACTCGTGTCTTGGCCCACAATAAGCATATCATCAACGTAAAGCAAGAGAATAATAAAATTACCATCTTTATATTTCTTCACAAACACACAATGGTCTGAAGTGGTTCTTGAATACCCATTCTCACTCATGAAAGCATCGAATTTTCTGTACCACTGCCTCGGTGCTTGCTTCAATCCATACAAGCTCTTCTTCAATTTGCAAACTAACTGATCATTACCCTTATCTTTGAAGCCCTCAGGTTGCTCCATATAAATTTCCTCTTCTAAGTCACCATGCAAAAATGCGGTCTTCACATCAAGCTGCTCAACTTCTAAATTCATACTCGCAGCTATACCAAGCACAGTTCGAATGGAGGACATCTTCACAACTGGTGAGAAGATCTCATCAAAATCAACTCCCTTTCTCTGATCAAAACCTTTCACGACAAGTCGTGCCTTGAATCTCGGTTGAGAACTGTTCCCATCATTCTTTCGTCTGAAGACCCATTTATTTTTCAAAATTTTCTTCCCTTTAGGCGGCTTCACCAAATCATAGGTGTGATTCTCATGCAAAGACTTCATTTCCTCTTTCATTGCCTTGAACCATTCAGTTTTGTTCTCATGCTTCAAGACTTCTTGATAAGTCCCTGGCTCCCCCTGATCTGATATCATCACATACTCATTTGAAGAATATTTTCTGGATGACTGTTTTTCTCTAGTAGATCTCCTTAACGGTGTCTGTGGTAGTGGCTCTTGGGGTGGTTGCTCCCCCTCAATCTCTGGCTCAACATCATCTTCTGCTGCATCATCATGAGGTGTTTGCACTTCCTCATCAATATCATGAACAACAGAGGGATTGAGAGGATCTAAATCAACAAGATCATCAGTACTAGACTCAGCTGACTCAAGCTTGTCGATGTCTTCAATAGTCTGATCTTCCAAGAAAACAACATCTCGGCTTCTGACAACTTTCTTGTCAACTGTATCATACAACCTGTATCCAAATTCTTCATGCCCATAGCCAAGAAATATGCATTGCTTTGCTTTTGGATCAAGCTTGGACCTTTCATCTTTTGGAATATGAACAAAAGCTCTGCAGCCGAATACCCTCAAGTGATCATAGGAGACTTCCTTCCCTGTCCAAACTTTCTCTGGCACATCACCATTCAACGGAACTGAAGGAGACAAATTGATAAGATCAACTGCGGTCCTCATTGCCTCACCCCAAAAGGATCTTGGCAATTTAGAATGTGAGAGCAAACATCTGACTCTCTCAAGAATGGTGCGATTCATTCTCTCTGCAACCCCGTTCTGTTGAGGTGTCTTTTTAACTGTCTTTTCATGCCTGATACCATGATTTGTGCAATACTGATCAAATGGTCCAATATATTCACCACCATTATCCGAGCGAACACATTTCAACTGTCTACCTGTTTCTCTTTCAACCTTGGCCTGAAAAATCTTAAACACATCTAGAACTTGATCTTTAGTTTTCAGTGTATAAGCCCAAACTTTTCTAGAGTGATCATCAATAAAAGTGACAAAGTATAGAGCACCACCAAGTGTCCTAACTTTCAAAGGACCACATACATCAGAATGTACCAAATCTAAAACATGAGATTTTCTAGATGCAATGTTTCTACGGAATGATATTCTGTTTTGTTTACCATGGAAACAATGAACACAAGTTTTCAAAGGCGTACCTTTTATCCCCACTAGAAGCTCTTTCTTGGACAAAACTTGCAATCCTTTTTCACTCATATGTCCAAGCCTTCTATGCCATAAATCAGTGGATGAGTCATTCTCTAAGGTATTCACAACACCCTTGCAGATTTTTGCTTGCATAGTGTAAAGAGAACAAGTCTTCTTTCCTTTTGCTACCACTAGAGAACCTTTGGAGAGCTTCCATTTTCCATTACTGAAATTGTTGATGTAGCCTTCATCATCTAACTTTCCAGCAGAGATTAAATTGAGTCGAATATCTGGTACATGCCTCACATCTCTAAGCAGCAATTTGCATCCAATATTTGTTTCCAAGCAAATGTCACCCATGCCGACAATTTTTGACACATCTTCATTTCCCATACGGACATTCCCAAAATCACCTTGTGAGTAAGAAGTAAAGAAATCAGCCCGCGAAGTAACATGAAATGAAGCTCCAGAATCAATTACCCAATCCGTCTCTTGGCCAATCAAATTAACGCTAGCATCATCACGGATAATCATGAGTTCATCATCGGTAACTACAGCTGTATCAATTTGCTTTTTCTCTGAATTTTTCTCTTTGTTCTGCTCCTTGAACTTGAGTTTTCTACATTCCCGCTTCATGTGCCCTTTCTTGTGACAATAATAGCATTCAACATCCTTTTTTGACATCGAGCTTGAACGACCTCTAGATTTATCACGGTTGTGCGGAACCCTACTCTTACTCCTGCCTCTCCCCCGGTTTTCCATTACAAGTGCCTCGGAGTAAGAAGAACCTGATGATTTTCTTCTTGTTTCTTCATTCAACAAACTGCTGGTAACTTGACTCATTGTTACCACTCCATCAGGTGCGGAGTTACTAACTGTGACCACCAAAGTTTCCCAGCTTTCGGGAAGTGAACTAAGAAGTAACAAAGCTTGCAACTCATCATCAAAAGTAATTTTCATGGCGGCCAACTGATTCACAATGCTCTTAATCTCATTCAAATGCTCTGCAATAGAAGTACCCTCCTTATATTTAGAGTTCACAAGCTTTCGAAATAAAAAGGCTTTATTCACTGCCGTCTTTCTATCATACAAACTCTCCAATTTGGTCCAAAGACCATGTGCAGATTTTTCTGTAGAGACATGATGAAAGACACTATCATCAATCCATTGCCGAATAAAACCGACAGCTTTCCGGTCTAGCTTTTCCACTCGTCATCTTTCATCCCTTCCGGTTTGCCACTATCACCCTCTATGGGTTCATTCAAATCTTTACAAAATAAAAGATCTTCCATTTTAGTTTTCCAAGTCACCCAATTTGTGCCATTGAAACTAACCATACGTCCAACGTTGCCGTCCATAATTCACACACAGAAATATAACGAATCGGAACCGAATTAACCAATTGCTTTGATACCAGATGTTGGGAAAATAGGCTTTCCCACAAGTGTAAATCAATGGAAGCAATATAAATAAAATAACAGAAAATAAATAAGCACACAAGATTTACGTGGTTCCCTCAAATAACTTGAGGTACATCCACGACGACCGGTAGGTCAGTTTCTTCCACTATCACCAAATCAGATTACAAAGTGGCCAAAAGGCATAAGCCTTACAAACACACCAAGGTGTAAATCACAAGAGGAAAATACCTCACAAAATAAGTGAACCAAATCTCCAAGAACAAACCGCAAGAAACCCAAATATCAAGTGAAGAAATGTTACCCACTTGAAGAACAAATTTGCAGATTTTTCTGGCACCAAAAAGGAGAAGAAGAAGGCTGAATTTTTGTTGAACCAAAGACTGCCGAAAATATGTCTTCTTGCCAAACCAACAGAGAAAAGATGAACCAAAGAAAAGGACAAAACTTATAGTCTTTGGTGGCTGCCAAATTCCTTTTAACTTGAAGACTCCAAACCAAGTCTTGGTTAAGAGTCATACACGGGTAAGCCACCAAAAAATTAGCAAATTGATGAGTCCCACAAAGGAGGGAAACCCAACAGGACCGACCACTGTCACTTGTGGGTGATAGGCCGATCATTTTGATGGATTAACTCCCTTATGGTTGATAGGTCAATCGCTTAAGCCACTAAAGTGCCGAAGTAGAGCAATATGGGATTCACGAAAGTTACTAGTTGATGATTGATATCCTTCTTACGAATATATCAATCACCTTCGAACAACCGAGAAATATACAATTCCATGTCCAAACCACTATTTGGATAATAGACTGAAGGTGCGAGAGTCCTTACTGTAGAATATCTTCCTTGATTGAGAGAACTGCTCGTGGTTGCTTAAAGCACACCATAATTTATAGTTACAAGTGGAAAGCATGTTCGGGCTTAAGGAGGCGAACACAAACGGACTAAGCAAATGGTCTTTGCAATGCAAATCTTTAAGAGAAGCTAAATGGTGCTGGGTAAACTAAAATTTTGGGTGTAATGCTTTCAATTGCTTAGGCTTTCTTTTTGAGAAAAGAACTGGGTATATACACCGACTTCATTAGAGAAGATAGTCGAGCACTCCCAAGATTGAAGTGAAGCCGAGACTCCAACTGGGATTTCATGGACCACGACAATCATGGTGTGATTTGTTGGATTTGCCAATGCTTGGCTTCAAGAAATAAACTCGCTTGTGTATATATGTTATGTTCACTTTGTGATTATCCAGAGAACTCCTTTTTTCCGCAAGATCGAAATGAGAGTGTTGCTAGTTGCTGAGGGAAATTCAAGAGAAGAGACCGAGCAAGGTCTTTTTGTCCAAAGGCTGTGCCAACCTCTACTTGGGCTGTCTACCCCAAATATTCTGGGTTTAGAGAATGCCAAGAACTATAGTTGAGGCCGACTGCCCGAGAGGCCCTTGTTCGTAGAATATGTGGCTTCGGGACATGCTCCCTACTGTGAGGAGTACCCCGGTGTTACGCCAAAATAAGGGACTTTTTGAGGCTGAGATGTCTTGATGATGCTGAGAAGTCAGATGCTACTAGTTGGGCTCTCGGACAGGTTTAGACTGGGCTATACTGATCTCCAATTAGCTTCTGATGGATGCGTGGACCATTCACAAGGCTACTGTGTTATTGTTACGACGGCTCCGACCACAATCAAAGTGACGCCGAGCACTTTTGTTTTCTCGGGGATGTGGAGTAGACACCGTATTTTGAGACTTCTAATGTCGGAGAGCCCCACTGAAGATAGACCAACCATGCGATTGGCCATGATATGTTTCTATACAAATAACGAAGAAATGAATTTCGAATTTCAAGTCTCTTGTAATGGGCTCCGATTCATGTCCAGACCACTTAACATCGTTCAGTGCATCGAAGTTCCTGGCCTCGTATCTAGACCATTCCAAGGATTCCTGGGAGTAGCTGGTCTTTCTCAATAGCACCGAGGTACGCTGAAATTCAGGTGATAGCGGGACCGAATGCCACTCTATGATCTGCTTTGTATTTGCGGACCATCTTTAGGTTGCACATCTTCAAACATCTTAGTGCTTGTGTTTGCATGCATCAGTACACGTGGTGTAGCTGTTCTCAAGAGCAAAACATGGCAGTCATACAAGTCCTTGCTGATATTCAAACTTGTCCAGTCAATCTTAACATGTGGATCTCACAAATAGAAATGACCTAGGACTTGCTTTTTTACTTTGGGTCATATATTTGCATCTAAAGAAGATGTTAACTGTTCCGTATGCAATAAGTTAAAATGAAAGAAAAATCATGGTACACAAATGTCACACAAAATAGAGAGAGACCGAACAAGGTCCTTGTTTCTGGGTTTGCACTTAACTCGTGTTGGCGGTATTGGGGGAGGCAGAGAGAGAGTGACATCACACTCGGCTCATTTCAAAAGCCAAAGGAAAGAAAAAAAACTGAGTAGATGACCCACATGCTTTGTGATAGTGTTCAGAAGTTCATCCAACAATCACATGCATTACTTGAACTCATTATCATGACTTCTACATGCATTTCTTTATGAACTAGTAGAGTGTACTTATATGCATTATATGGTGACGAACAAAGTATTATTCGATCCTGGTTGAAATGTGAGAGGAGAGCACTTATCTTTGCGCTCGTCAAGTTCCTTATGTGGAGACATAAAATAGCGAGACATTTTGAGTTCCATCGGCATACAAAAACAATAGCAGGGCTACACCGAGCTCCATGAATGGGGTATCCTGATCATCCTTTCACTAATTGACCGAGCAACTTCTTGTGAATATCTGAGCATTGCTAACTCGGAACTTGAGTCGGAGATAGGTCTCGGCCACCGGCAAGACTCAAAACATTGTCCACATTGGGTGTGTTTGCAACAGAAAAAAAAGGCATAAAGGTAGAGGCCCCAAGAGAAGAGAGGCCAAATAGTAGTACTTTATTAGGAGAAAACATCACTTTCTATGTCATGGAAGAAAGTAGAGACGATCAAGTTCAATATCCAATACTAAAGGACGAACTAACACCATAAAAAACAATCAAACTTTATGAATGTGGCTTATAATCAGTAGATCCACGTTGAAGCTTCCATGGTGGACCTTTGTAAGCATGTTGTAGTGTTTATCTTCTTATGGGTTTGAAAGAAAGGCCAAATGCCGAAAAAATTAAGAACGTGGTGAAGAAAACTCTACCAATCAAGTACAAGAAGAGAAATACCACTGATTCCATGGACTAGATAGGACTCACTCACACTAGTGATACACATGGATTTTGGGGACAGACTTTCTTTGTTTCCCACAAATGGCGCCAAATTGTTCGGGCTAAAATTCGCACAATCACTGAAAAAGTTGAAGGTGCACCCCCAATCTTCGAATATCACCCCGTTCATGAGCTGCAAGGCAGAAAAATGTTAGAAAGACCCCCGGCATTGAGTCAGGGGAGGCCCCTCCAATGCCTAAGTCAATATCATGAGCAATAACTGGAGCAAGCGATTGTATAAACAAGAAAAATAATATAGATGTGTGTGTGAAGTATGGAGTCAAGGTGCTCATACTTGAGGCCCCCTCTTCTTTGGGCCTTCACCCATATATATAAAGAAAATTAAAGAGTCACTTACCATCATATACTGTGCAACCGTCAATGTAGGAAAATAGGCATGGACTAATCTGCCACAACACTCATTACCTGCTATATATTCATTGTAGTAGATCCCACTTGTGATATTTGTTAAGTCATTTATACTCCTTCCTTGGGAGTAGGACTGGTGGACCCACCTGACAAATAATGTTCTATCAAATCACATGAAGTTCTTCACCATGAGACACCACAACAACAATGACTACTGTGGTGGGATGGCTGCAATCCTTTAGACATACTTCACAATAGTACCACAAACCTCTGCAGAAGTAGTTGGAGGGGGAACATTCTCCCTAGTTCGAATACCATGGAAAAAGGGAAAGAAAAAGAGACGAATGGCCGTAATAGGGAGGAAAAGTAAGAAAATGCCTAATATAAAAAATTACTTACTCGGCCACTTACCATTCTCAAACGATGAAAAGGTGGATCGTAAGCATGAACAAAAGGTTTTAAGGCAACATGTTTCACAAGGGGGTCTCAAGCATAGATGACCTTGTGATAGTAGAGTGCACTAAAGGGGGGTCAGCCGCGGACACAACAGTCTTTTGTGAATGGGTCCTAAGCGCTAGACCCCTGATCACCATTGGGACAGGAGCACTAGGTGGCTCAACAACATTGGCTATCCTCGAGGTTACCTTTATGAATCTCTTTGCGACAGTCTCAACAACTTGGAGACGAGGGTCGCGCCTCTTTTGAACCTTTGAGGAACCCTCATCCGTGGGACTGACGCAAATTCAGTAAGACCTCATCTCTCAATGCGGGCCTTCTTTTTAACTCTATGCTTCCTCAAGCAATATAGACCACATACTTCCTCATCTCGTGGGTATTCTTGAGGCTCACCTTTAAGGAAGGCCAACATCAAGGAAATTGCGGCGACTGAAAAACCTATATTATCAGCTATAAATACACCTGCCTGGAATGAAGGAGGAATAATAAAGATGCCATCACCAAGGAACCATAACTTATGGGCAACCAAGTAATGATTCATGCCTATAACGTAACCCAAAGGGCACTCTAGATGAGTGGGATTGTCATGCCACATTATAAGGATTGTAAGTTGCCTCACTAGCACCCTCATTTGTAAAAATAGGAAAGTGACTTTTTGTGAAAATGCAATAAAAATAAATTAGTGGTTCGAGGTTGTCAAGCCTCGTTGCGGTAATATGGCAGGTGTTCAATACAGGGTGATTGTTGGAACGAAAATTCCAAAATTCATTGACAACGCGCGTATGTATCGAATACAAAATTTTTTTCTTTAAAACCCTACAAGGCGGAAATAGGGTTTATCTTCGAGATCGTTCTGAATTGATTTCGTCTCAGCATGAATGCAAAAACTAAAGACAGACATAGAAAGCAGCTCGCTAAACTTTACGTTCTTTTGTTGTATATTCTCCAACGCCAAAAATTCGAATGCAGTGTGGGCTGCAAGGACCTCCGAACTTCTGCTCTCTCTCTCTCAGCCTCTTTCAAAACGTGAGTAATGAATTGATGATGATTTAGAGAACCTAGAAATCTTTATATAGGCTCCGACTAAGGAGAAATAAGGGTCGGATTTTCAATGGAGCTAAGATTTCTGTGGTCAACCTAAAACAAACATTCTACGGTCCATTAATAATAAGTTAGTCCTTTAAAAACTTATTATTAATTTCTTGAGTCTTATCTCAAAATTATATTCGAGCTCCTTATTATTATTTGCTTAATAATCTCTCAACGTTTAAGATTACAGATATCTATCAATTAAATAAATTACTAAAATTTATATTTAATTGACTAATTTTATTCCTTGAGACCTTACCACCCAACTTGTCATGTTGAACAATTAAATCTACCCGCAGGGTTTGACATGAACAAAACTTATGAGCTTCCTCAAGAGGATATCATCAACTCATTTAAATACAAGAACATGGTTTTCTTTAATAATTAATTTTTATCATACAAATAATATCGTCCCCCAATTCATCGAGCTTATTGAATCAATATGAATTTCACTCTTTGATGAATTAAAGAGACAAACATTATATGCACGTGAAAATTAAATATCTTGGGATTAAGAGCATAAGCACTAATAATAATCACGAGGTATTTATTATTTTATCGAATCAGTAAAAGATAATAACCTCAATACAGGTCTGTTCAATACACAAAGTGTACTAACGCAATAATATAAGACATCAAACAGTCTCCTACAGTCAAAACAAACTATGTCAGAATATTATACTACAATTATACTGATGGTGTGTCCAATTCCATCTAAGATTGTGAACATATATTCATATTATACAAGAATCCGATAATCTGATCTTCTGTGCATAAGTCGAACTCTACACACCAGATTATCTACAATGTAAAACATAAGACATACATGCATACTATATATCAAATATAATGCAAACATTTTGCCCACATAGATTCTCAATAAAATGGCAAGAACAAACTCCTGTTAGTTAATAAAATGAGTTTCACTACAAAAAATAACCTTTTAGTATACAAGTTTATCAGTTATTTCATCATCAATAAAGTGGCCTAAGCGCCTGAATGTTAAAGTACTTGACCATTGAAACGCTTGGTCAAAGGGACCACCCTTTATGAACTAGTGAAGTCTAGGAGAAAAGAGGGGAAAACGCTCATAGAGAAAAAGTTGGAGGGAGAGAGTAAAAATATAAATGTCAAACCTTCCCATTGAAACTCTAGTTATCTCATGCAACTCGTCAAGGCAGGAGTATAAGTTCCCGAGGAAGACAAGGGCCAAAGGTACTACATCACCATGGGCAAACTTTGTGGCTAGGGGAAAGACTGTTTCTAAAATCATCTGAAAGCAGCTCGAGAATAGCGTGTCGTGACAACCACATCATGATGTAAGTTGTAAAGGCATTCTAATTTCTAGACTCCAGACTAGAATCACCAACTCGCTCAAGAGTCTTTCCCCTTGAGTGCTCAATATCTTTGTACAACTATCTCACCCACACTGTGTAGCTAGACTTGTTGCCCCCTAAACTCCTAATACCAAAGGCAGAAGGATTCTTCGTGACAGTCGTAAAACCACCGAACATATATGAAATGATATGGGCCTCTTCGAGAAAGGGTGTCATGGTATCATATATGGTGTTTCTTAGGATATGTAGCCAAATTAGCATCACTACGTCCTTGTGGGTGGGGATAAACTCATCCCGAGCAACAACAAAGGTATGGATGTCATAGTTCAAACGTAAGACAAGGGTCACCGGGTTATGTGGAGTTTGCAGCATAGCAAGGAGGATGTGGGCACCATTTAGTATGTCATAGAAAGCCTTGTTTAAGAGAACATGGCCAGTCCAATCAACCTAGCCGATGGAGGGGGCAAAAGAAGTCTCAAAATTGTTGAAAGAGTAGGGACATCACCTTTCTCTATGGGAAGACGAAAACTAAACCCAAGGTTGAGGTAGGGAGTCACTTATCTTATATCGGATCTTATAATTGTAGAGGCCACAAGCAGCATATTCTTTTAACCCAACTCGCTCATTCCTCTAAATATGAAGAGAAATCAGACAAAAGGATCCTTTCTTGAGGAAAAAATTTTGCGGGACACATGAGGCTACAAAATAACGACCTCTCTAGGTCTACCTTGTCAACCTCATGAACTCAAAAGGATTCGAAAAAATGATCAACCTCTTTGCTCAAGAAAGGGGCACAGTATCACTACCTGGGAGAAAGAACTAAGCTTGAGCGAATTTGGCGAGCTTCGATCATTAGGGAAGAAAAATGAATTTCAGAGGAAGGAAGGCGACTTTGAGAGAAGAAAATCAACGAGAGTAGAAAGAAGGAATAATGAAAAATGAGAAGGGAAGAAAAAGAAAAAGGAAGAGAGTCTTATTTATAGGTTGGACCATTAAGTTAACACGAGGATTGCAACAGTGATTACGAAGCTTGAGGGACACATGGTAGAACGTGGGCCGTATAAATGGTGCCAACGGCGACTATTGTATAATTAAGGGGAATGTGGCACAATTTTTGGCACTAATCTCGAGTGCCATCATGATTCCTGCGATGGTCCCCGAGGATAACACGACATAAACCTAACACCGAGGGGCATGACTGGCTTACCTCAAAATTTCACAAAGCAAAATGCACAGGTTCCAACATGTGATAGGTATTCAAAGGCCATCAAAAGTAGACTCATGCATGCAAGGGGTCGATAAGTAGCCTAAAATTAGGATACTTATTCACAATATAGAAGGACAAATGACTAAGATTAAAAAAGAGTAACGAGTTGGTGTGGCAAGATGGGTCCTACAAGTTCCCATGACAAACAAAGGTTGTGACACCACAGAAAGTGTCAAGAACAGAAAGAATAGGACACATCCTAATCATAGTGAAAGTGGCAACATAGATCCTTTCCAAGAAGGAATTATAGTGGCACCACAAAAATATGGGAGAAACATTGGTGTGACCTACCTAATATATTTCCCCCCCCCCCCCCCCATCGTAGAAATAAGGCACACGGTTGGTACATTGTGAATGGTAAAGAATGGCATCCCTAAAAAATCCTCAGAGGGTACCCTCAGAACAAGACCACTTGAGAGAACCTACATAATCCATTAGATGTCCATAGTGATAAAGTTAATGAATAGTATATTGTTCCTTGACTGGTCCCAGGGACTAAAAGGAGGGGTCCCAACTTCGGAATAAGAAAATCTGACCTTCCTCAAGGGATAAGTAACAGGGACGAATGAGCATTCTTTTCAACCTCAATCTCAGGCAAAGTCTCGAAGGTTTAGTTTGCTCTGGGCAAGCCTCCCAGTGTATGACTCCCTGCTCACCAGGTTGCTCTTTGACTAGGATTTGGAGGGACTCCTAAGATAAGAGGGGTTAATGGTCCAAAACAACATATGTTATGATAGGCATATGGATTGGTAGCTGAAGGGCCAAAACTATGTGACGATCCTTAATTGGGCACCTAGACAAATATCTCAAAAGGGGTTCTTAAGGAAGGGAGGCTCCGAGGAATACGTGCACTGGGGCACCCTTTTGCGTTCCTGCTCCCGTAATAGCTAATTGTGACCCTTCACCTCAGATGTCCCCTAGTACCTCGTAGGACATACCCTTTCCTTGGGGTATGCGCCCAAGATGTATACGAGAAAAATGACACATTTGCCTAATTATTAATGCTTAGGACACCTAAGCACACGGTGAGCGATCATCGATATAGTTGCAGTTGAGGCAATTGCAGGTAAGCACAGTTATCACATATAACATTGATCCCTGTCCAGAGGCAGACGTGGTCAACCTGTAGGGAAGCTTCATCTACCTGAGTACTTGTGTTATAAATATTTTTATTACTTGCCCCTGCAATACAAGAACACCCAAGTGTCTTGTCTGAAATGCACTTTCTAGTTGGTATGAGAATATTCACTAACTCTACATACCCGAAAAAAATTTGTCCACTGTCAATCTCGACAGTTAATAAGCAGTTAGAGTTCTTTCATCCCATCCATTCATCCTACTTATATTTTCAAATACATTAATATTGAACACGTATTTCAACTTCTTTAACTCCCACCTTCACATATTAAGAATAAAAATTTCCAAAAATCCTGCTGATGTGGCCTTTTACTCGATTGGTCTCAATATATTGTGGTCCTAATATTTGCATGTTTGTTGCTTACACGGCTTTTATTGCTACCCAAAGTAATGACCGGACACGAAAGCAGCAATCACATTGAGAAGGAAAGGTTTTGTCTTGCCACCCCTATTAGTTTTATATGTATCAAAT